ACAGTAAAAACAGGGAAAACCTGGAAAATACAGGAAATGTAAAAATCACTTAAAATAACAGGGAATTTTTATTTTTTCTTTACAAACTGGGAAAATACAGGGAATTTTGTTTCTTATTTTTATCTTTTAAAAAATAGTGACCACTCAAAGCGTAATGTATGAGATATTTAACCATGATATTTCAGCTGTACTAAACTCTTTCATTTACTATAGCATTATTTAAGTATGCTCAGCTGTTTTACCAGCAATTAAAACTAATAAATATAGTTTGCTCACATAAGAGTGCAGTAATTGTTGTTTCCTTTTAATATATTTCGTATATGTACAGGGAAAACATGGGGAAGTTTTTTTTCCTTCCAGATTTGAGGGGCAACCCTGTTTGGAAAATAGGGTCCCCAAAGTTTGGCCAGGAGAGCGTTCCAAAGTTTGGACCCCTTAATGTGAATTTCACTTTTTGTGTTTTTAATCAATTTTCTAAAAATACTAAGGAAATTTTTAAAAAAAAATTGCACCTGGAAACATAACAACATAATTCTCAAACATAATTTCATGCATAACACATAACATAGTTTCACGCATAACATAATTTCAAATTAACTCAAACATAATTTCACACAAATAAAAAAATTAATAGTTTAGTTAATTATTTTTCTTATTTAATTGTAGATGAAATTTTTTTTAATTATGTGGTATGATTAATTATGTGGATTTTTGATGGTATATAGCCATGCCTCAGTTGATCTATTTTTCTTTTAAAATAAATAATCTCAAGAAACAGAAGCTAGAAAATATATTTCATAATGAAAACCAAAAAACTTCATTACCTTTAAATATGAAGTAAGAAGAGTTGAAATTGTTTTAGTACTCTTGTTATCAGCCTTTAGATAAATCAGATAAAGTCCCATATCTATCTGTTTTGTCTCTTGTCGACAGTAAATTTTTTTTCTTTTATTTATGAATTTCTTTTTTGGACATTTATTCCTTTAAAAAAATTGTTTTGGTTTCCTCGTTTAGTCTGGTGGGTCTTGAGAATGGGTGGCTATGTTTTCAGTGCTTAAAACATGTCACTTTTAATACTTTAACAATTTTTATTTGTGTTATGAGTTAGTCACAACACACTGAATTAAATGTTTGCGAAAGTAAGAGAGTAAATGAGAGGCTGACATATAAGGTTGGTTTTTTCTGTAATAGTGTAAATTATTCAATTTTTCTCTAATTTTGGCTGCTGAGGGCCATTGTTTTCATTTCCGGTCATTGTTATTTTTAGTCGTACAACATATAGTATTGCTTCTATTACGACTTGGATTTATTATAAAATGAGTGGTCACAGACAGGGTTTGTTGATTTAAATCAGCTTGATTTTAATCACAATTTAAATTATGATTTAAATCAAATTATTTTTTTTAAAAAATCATTGATTTAAATCAACTGATTTTTTTATGTGTGTATTGATTTAAAAAGTTAAAAAAACTGTGTTTTAAATTATTGATACTTTTATTATTTCTTTTCTTAGTTTTAAAATTTATTTTAAGTAAATTGCAGCATTAATTAATTTTAGCTTACGAAATTACTTTCTTTCTTGGTATGTGTTAAATTACAACACATTTGTAATTACATTTTTAAAAGTCTTGAGATTGAAAGTACTGATTAAAGTAAACATTTAAGTATTTTTTTCTCATAATATGTTTACAGTATCTATGACATTATCAGATTTTCTATAAGAAATTTTGTGAGAAAAAAAATTTCAATGAGTACATAGATTTAAAAAAAAATTTTTTTAGCTTAACTTATCTATTTTGATATAGGATTAAAAATAAATATTTTAATATAAAAATATATAGATTAAATATTTATTTATTTTTTGATGAATGACTACATTTACAAACACAATCTGTTACATTTATTTAGTCATTTTAAAAATCAAGAGGGAAAAAAAAAGAAATCACAATTTTAATTTAAAATTATGATTTGGTAATTCAAACTTTGTTTTAATAGTTAAAATACTCTTTAAATTCTCTATTTCATCTAGTCTTTAAATTTCAATCATGCGTTTGTTTCAAAATAGTTACTAGGCATTCAAAACTATGTACTATAATGAAAAATTATTTTAGGTAGTTAGAGCTTCTGAAATATTCTTATAATATAGTTTTAATATTAATTTAATTTTGATTAAACATTTAGAAAGTTTTTTTAGTCATAAATCAAAGTTCTTACAGTGTACTTGAATAAAAATCAAAGAAATCTGATTTTAATCAAAAAAATCCGATTTAAATCAAAAAAATCTGACTTTTTTGATTTTTTTTTAAAAAGTCAAAAAAATCACGAACTCTGGTCACAGAAGCTATTAAAGTTTTTCCTTTTTTATGTCTTTTGTTTGTTTGTTTCGTTTTTGTATGCGTATGCAATGCTGTTTAAGCTTAACCCAGTGCAGTTGATTTTTCAAAATTCCTTTTTTGAAATAATACAACTGTAAATGTTAAAAATATGCAGATGACAAGTATTGGTTGCATTTACTGTATTTTGTATTTACTATCATTAGAGGGGAAGGTTTTGTTAAATATTGGTTGTCATAAAGATGGAAGCATAGGAATTTTATCTAGAGAAGCATATGATGGGTAATGGAAATGGGTAAATTTTAGAGCAGTTTGGCGGATGCTGAAGGATTAAAAAGAATTCTTTTTGAAGTGAAGAATCTGAGGTCTTGTTATTAAAGGATACTAATTTTTAATATTTTATTTATTTGCTTGATCTTTTATAAGAGAATTTATCTTTTCATCATAAATTTAGGAGTCATATTTTTTTCCTGAATTTTTTTTTATAACCCTTGTTATACAGCCTACCCAATTTTGGGTTTAGGACTACTAATGTTCAACTCCGTAGCCTTGTAACTTTGAACCTAACCCGAAAGACAAGGGAACTCCTGGATCAAATATTGGGAAAGATTTGCCTTTCTGGAGGACTTTTTGATGGAACTAACCCGTATTTGCGTTACATGGAGAGTAAAACCTCTCACGTTTAACCTGACGGCAAGGGGACTATATCCCATGATCCATCTACCACTACTATCCATATATTTCGCATCAGCATTCACATCGGTGCAAGCCGAATGCGGAATTTGAATCGACCAGCCATTGCCAGGATTCGATCCCGGTGTACCTCATTGGAAGGCGAACGCTCCATCCCCTGAGCCATCAAAGCTTGCTCAAAAAATTTTGAGATATTTTTTGTGAAATATGAATACATACTTCTATTTTGCATCTTTGGTATGTTTTATTACTAAAGAATTAAGATGATGTTGCTAGAAAAATAATATTAACTAAAAGGCAAATAATAATTAGTTTTCTTTTAAAAAAGATGCATCATTTTAGCTTCGTTAATTCTTTTTTTTTTAACCCTGAAGCTTTACTTTCTTTTAGAATAATAATCATTTTTACTTTTATTCACTTTATCCATTGTTCTAGAGTTGGCTCCAGTTCCAACTTGTTCTGATTAATACTTTATTGCAGTCATGGTTAGAAGAAAATATAATCACTGGTACAATGAACAAGTAACTAAAATATATTACTACCTAATTCATACACAGTTTCAATGGTCTATTTGCTTGTCTCTATTTGAATTTTTATTTTAAGTTAATAGTGTGAATGTTAAAGGAAATATTATAAGTACAGAGAATATAAAAGCATGGAATATAGAGAATAGAAAAATAAATGGAGAATAGATTATGGACAATTCGGATAATACAGTGTTTTCATCATAGAACAAAATGGGTGTGAATTTCTTACCCTTTCTCAAAAACAGGGTGAGATTTCTAAGACTTAAGTGAGATTTCTAAAAACTAAAAAAACACAAAAACTCTTGAAAAAAAAAAATCATTTCTTTAATTATAATGCATTTTTAACATCTTCTATTTTTTAAAGCATTAAATATTTTTGGTGCATCGTCATAGAAGATTTTGCCTTTACAAGGTATTTGTCCATCTTACTTTAGCACATAAAAAATTTGAACGTCTTACATGAAGAAACCTATCCTACGGTAAACACATGGTTGCAGAGAAATGTGTTCTGAAAGGGGTTCTGTGGTTGTGTTCTGTTGTTCGAAAAGGTTCTGAACAATACTGGTAAATAGGGAAGCTAGATAACGGGGCAGATGTTGAAAATAGTGAAAGATCCAGGAAGAAAAGTGAAACGGATTTTATTCTAAATGGCGTAATTCTAAGCTTTTTCCAAAATTTGAGAAATTCGCGAATTTTGAAATTGATTTATAGAATGCGCGAATTTCTCGCGGTAATAATTTTTTAATGCGAGAAAAGAAAACAAATATGCGAGATTCTCGCGCTGTAGTGAAAACACTGTAATGATATAATATAGAATATGGACAATAATAGAATATAGAATTGTCAAATGGAACTTCATTCCTAATTATGAAGAAATATTCTATTTTGTGCTATATGCTATTTTTTATTATTTCAAATCATATAACTAAAACAGCTTACCATTCATTAACAATGATTGCTGGTCAGGGAGGCCATGGATTATTTATTTTATGATGGTCGGATTTATGATGATGGTCGCAGGCCATCATTAGTTTTTAGCCCTGGTTGTATTTTTTTCAATTTAAGATATCTTTCTGTTAATCTTAAATTGTTGACAAATTACTTTGAATGTTAAAAATTTTTACCTTTTTTCCTTGTGTAGTTCAGATTAATTTAAATTTTATAGTATTAATTGTTTTAGTTTTAACTAAAACAATTAAATAATAAACAATTAAATGAAAAAATAAATTAATCATATTTACATGTTTTAATCAAATGTTTCGGCCTTTTATTAAAATTAAATTACTTTTCAGGTTCTGCTCATTCAGTGCTTGATCCATATTGGTCTGAAACTCTACAACAGAATTCTTTTTGTGGTATGTTAAATGTGTATTTGTAGAATTTTTTTTCTTTAGTCTAATTATTGGGGTGCATCACCTGCGATCCGCTGACTGTTGATGTGCGGCCTGCAGGAGCTTCTGAATGCAATAAAAAGTTTCTTTTAATTTTTGTTAAAAGTTCGTTAAAAAATTTCGTTAAAAGTATTTAATTTTAATTTTATAAAATATGTTATTAAGTTTACTGATAAAACTATTTAGTGCTTCATAATGCTTAGATTAAAATCATTATATTTGCATCTGACATGACTAAATATGCGTGCGGCCCTTTGTTATCTACCTGCCGTGCAAGTGGCCCTTCACTTAAAAAGGTTGGGCACAGCTACCTTATTTTCATGTTAAAGAAAAAAAAATTTGTGGAGTAAAATTTCTTTATATGTAACATAACTTTTATAAGGGTAAGCTAAGTAAGCAAGATCCAAGCTAGAGTACATCATGAATGTGCAAAAATAGTGCTTTATCCCTGTTAGGATGCAAGGTATGTTATTTATAAAAGCCTAACCCTGCTCTAAATTGATAAATTTCAGGAATATTTCAGACAAATTTAAAAGGAAATCATCAGGCAGGACTTTTAGCTTTCTACTTTACATTGTAGTATTTGATCAATGTAAGAAAAAATGCATCCTAGACATTAACATGTTAATATTATTCTCTCAGTTTTTGAAATTACTTACTACTAATTATTTTTTTCTATTATGAGAGAGCATAAATATTAACTGAAGGCAAATAAGCAACTATATGACATTAGCATAACTCTGAAATTTTGTTCAACTTTTTTATTTCAATAAAATTAAATACATTCCGTGACTATACTCTTATGAATGGACACAGGAACAATGTTACATTTATTTTTATTGGTTGTAAAATAACATAGTTTTTAGATATTTGTATGTGAAGTTATTTATTTATTTACTTTTTTTAAAATTGAAATATTTGTACCAGATTCTTTCTGATTTTCTAAAGTTATTTTTCAATATAATAGTTTTTAGATATTTGTATGTGAAGTTATTATTTTTTTTAAATATTTGTGCCAGATTTTTTCTGAAGTTATTTTTCAATTTTTCCTATTACTACACTTTTTTTTTCCTACTTGAGGAGAATGCTTAGAAGAAAAAAACTACTTGCCAGAATTTACAGTAGGCTGTTAAAAGCATTTACATTAAAGAATAATTGAAAAACAACTTCCAATATTCCCTTTCTTGTAAGTTTCAAAATTTATGATAACTACTGAAATCAAACTCTAAATTTATCAATCAATAAAGAATGAGGTCACATAAATGTTTCATTTACTACTTACCTGTAACTACCAAACATTACATTTTATATTTTTAAGATCCTCTTATGTAAACACTTTTTAAATAGTATAGTTACATATGTATCCCTTGTTTAAAATTATTCTATCATTAATTTTACTTTGTTTTAAATTCTTCTACCCTATTTCTTATAACAGGAATAAAAAATGTACTATCAGAATTGTAAGTAAGGTGTCAGCACTGTGAAATGCATATTTATCAACTAACTTAAATAGTTTAATAGAATTTCAAGCTATATCTGTAAAATATGATACAGCAGATAAGATACTGTAAAATTTGTATTTCAAGATTAGTTGCTTATAAGTTATATTTTCTTATGTAACTTAGATTTTATATTTTTTAAAAAACATAAATATTTAGTATGTATCAAATGAATATTTATCAACTAGCTTAAATAATTAAGTAATTTCAAGCCGGATCTGCGTACTGTATTTTTCAATCCTTATTTTTCATTCATTTATTTTATCTTCTTTTTTACTATCTCATATATTTAGATTTTAAAACTTGCTAATTATCCGGGTTAATACCTCAGTTTCATAAATACCCGAGTATTTATAAATTTTATTGAAAACTTAACGATCATGTTCTTTTGGGTATTAATAAATTATATATATTTAAGGTACAATTAAGTTTTAATTACATTGTCATTAGTTTATTCATTATTAATTTTGAAGAAAAACTCATTCAACTGAACAAATTAATTATTGAAATCATTGAATGTTTGTTTTTATTTGAAAGTGGCTATGTTTTAATCATCCTGAAGTTTACATTTTGATTCAATATTTTTGGTTTCTAATGTAGAAATCTTTTGCCAGAAATATATTTTTGAATTGTAAAATTTTTTTCAGATTTAAGTAATTTTGGAAAATTTATCATATAAAACTTTCGCTGCTTATGAATATTATTCAATCCTTCTCGGATCTATATTTAGTTGTGATGTGATGATATCTGAATAATAATGCTTAATGTGTTAATTTAAAATTGGCTGTAAACTTTGGAGTTTTTACATAATTATTAGTAATTGATTGAAAAGTATAGAGCTTAATATTAAATAGATTTTCAATAGAGTAAAAAATATATGCTAATGCTAGCTTGCATGTTTCAATATTTTAACGTGCGTAATATGTTGTTGCGCTTCTTCCCTTTAAAAAAAAACTTCTTTGGAACTGCTATTTTTTTCTACATTTAAGGGATGTTTTATTAATTGCTTAACTCTAAACAAAGATTTACATATACATAGCTGCCAACTCTACTGGCAGTTTCTCGTGGTTTAATTAAAGTTCTCCTAATTTGCTAAAATTGAGCAAGTTTCCTAAAAAAAAAGTCCCGATTGAAATATATTTTTGCGCAGGTTATTACTTGAATATTTAAATAAGTATTACTAATACATAATAAAGTGAACCTCACTTATAGAAATCAATTCAAAACTGTTTTTGTTTTAAAAAGTTCAATTTATTTTTATTTAGAACACTCTTTTTAACTTAATTAAAAACATCTTTTAACTATTTTTGAGGAATTAAATGCCAATAATATTTTAAATTATGAGTAAACATAATCTATAACATTTAAAGTATGTTTAATGTCAATCATAACTGGAAAATATAGAAGTTTTTTTTATTTTGGTGGTTATAAAAATCGCTAAAATTCCCTTTGTGTAAAATATTTAGTACATTATGCAACAATTACCATGAAATTTATATTATTTCGTAAAATCTACTGGATTTTTTTCATATCCATGTTGACAGCTATGCATATATTATTTATTTCATGAAATATAATAAATAAATAAAATATATAACTTTTACTATGCCTAATGCTTTAGAGAACTGAAGCTTATTTATACTTCCAGGAATGAAAAAAAAAATTGTTTTCTTTTTGTTATTTAAATACATAAAATTGATTTGGAAAAAGATGTTTTTAATAAATTGAATAATTAATTATTTAATAAGACCTGATTTTAAGTCTAATTAGGATATGGCAAGTGATATTGATAGCAAAAGCACATAAATATACATAATTTATCTTAACTGAATTTAATTTGAAAATATATTTTATTCCTAACTTATATAACTTTAAAATAATATCTGATAGATTAAGAATTTAAAAGGTTCATCAACCTTACATGCAACGATGGACTGGGATACTGAGACCTATACTGGTGCACTCTCTGTCTTGATTACTTTTTGTTGAAATAAATCAAAAAAAGAAAAATAAATTGGCATTAATTTCCCTTCAGTTTTAAGGGGAACAAATTATGAATAAATGATTTGTAAAAAGATTTCATTTATTGTTAACCCTTTTCACATTGTTTTTTCCTTTAAGAAAAAAAATTTTTTTGTTTTATTTTCGTTACTTTTAAATTACTCTCTTATACTATTTTATGTGTATATTTCTCATTCATTGTCAAAATAAGAGAAAAGTGTAGTTTATGAAAGGCATTCTAAAAGACAATCTCTCCAAAGCATATTTTAAAAATAAGAAGTAAAATAAATTTTTTTCAATAAGCAGCTTGAAAGCTTTTTTCTATAATTTTAACAGAAAATTAAATTTAGAATCACTTGAATTTATTAATACACCCCCTTTAGGAAAAAAAGATACTTATGCAATTTTTACCATATGAAAATAGTCCTAACAAAGTGAAAATTTGTAATAGTAATGAAAATGAAATCTGTGATCTCAGATAACTTTACCACTGTGTAATTATCATTTAATTTTCTCAAAAATGAATTATAAATAAAAAAAAGCACTGTTTTTCTTAAAAAGATATTCTTAAACCATCACATAGCTTTTTGCAAATTCGAGAAGCGTTTTTGTTATAAGATGTTATTGTTATTTTTTTGGTCTAATTAATTAAATATTTTTAGATTTTGGCTGTTTCATTTTATAAGTATGATTTTTTTTTTGTGTATTAATACATTGAATTAATAATTCCATACTGATGTTTACGTTACCTTTTTTTTTCATTATTATTTGGATTTTTTTTAAAAAAAATTCTTGCAGTTTGTGTTGATAAAAGTTTTTAATTTTATTTTGAAAATTCATTTATTCTTTAGATCTTGCTGAAAGTTTTTATTTTAAATTTTATGTAAACTTATTTATTTAAATCTTTTACACTTTCATTATTTTGCAATAATTTGTTCACAATAAATATTTTAATTAAATGGAATATTTTTTCGAATTTGTTTCTAAAGTAATTAAATAAGAGTTACTGATGTGTGTTTTGAAGACTTTTATTTATCCTTTAGTTTTTTAAGTGGTTCTTAATTTGATATTTCTTAGTTTAAAAGTTAATATATTGTTCTGAATATGGTTTTAAAAAATTATATAGTATTTAGATGATTATGGAACCATAGTTTTTGATCTAAGTAATTTTCACAAGATTGTTAATATAAAAACTTAAAAGGATTGATTTCTAATAATGTTTTAGGATTTGCTATTCATTTTCTATTCACTAAGTATTTTCTTTTTTTTTTATTGACAACACTCCAATATTTGAAAGAAAAAAAAATTTCTATACAGCGTTAAAGTTTCACATTTTTCAAAGTTTCTCATTTTCCATGTTTGCAGTAAATTTTAATTACATTTTAAATAAGCGGTAAATTTTTAACCTCATATCGAAAGAAATGTAAATCTGTGGTCTATTATTCAAAGAAACATTTAAAATTGTTTTTGTTTTTTTTTAATTTTATTTTTATTATTTCTCTTAATAATTTGAGGAGAGGGGTGTGAACGCTGCAAACAAAAAGCTCAATTACATTTTTTAATTGTGTTACATTTGTTTGAATATTTAGTTATTTACTATCATGTTTATTTTCCTGTAAAATTTTTCATTAGCTTGTAAACTTGCAGTGAATCATGCTAGTAAATGATATAGCTAAGTAAAATACGGAACATAAAAAAATTAAAAATACATATTACAAATTGTATACAAGTTTCATTGGGAGTACACAATTGTATTCATTTACATTAAAACATCTTTAATGACGAAAACATTACAAAAAACATACATTAGAAATAGTGTGAAATATTCAAATCAACCTAATTATGTATGCTCCATTGTAGCTTTTAAGCTTGTGCATTATTTTTATTAATTTTGATTTTTTTAAAAATCTCTTTTATACTTATCAATCTTTTTATCATAATATTAATTATTTGTAGGACTCATCTTCACTGTGCTGCTTCTTGCAATAATTCAACTATAATAAAATTTTTGCTGGAAAAACTTTATCAAAACTTGAGTAATCATGAAACAACTTGGGAGAGAATGCTTTGTACAGTAAGTTCTAAATAATATAAAATTTGTAAGTTTCTGTATCACATGTACACTTTAGAAATCAATTGTTGCAAAGATGATGTGCAGATTATGTTGAGTAACCTCCTTATTAAATACGCTTCAGTAGTATTTTTTTAAATTTATTCAATTGCTTTTGTAAAATTGTACTTACAAAATTTCATACAAAAACTTCATATAGTAAATTCCATGTAGTGTGACACTAGTTGCTTTCTTCTGCCCAGTATATGCTCCATTTAATATCATGCATGTACAGAACAATTTTTACAAATGACTATATAGAATTCTTCATTCAAGAACACAATTATGTGCTAATTTACTTTTGCAGATGTTTTGTTATTTGCAAATTAATTTGGGGTCTCTCTTTACATCTCATTATATCCGTGCACCTTATATGAAAAAGTCATTCTCAGTCAATTAAGAATTCATCTCATAATGAACTTTAATGAACTTAATGTTGATAATAGAGTGAAGTTTACAAATCAATGACTAGCAATGAAGAAGCTTTTAAGACAAAAATTAAGTTACAGTTTTAAATTGCCTTTACATGAGAAAATATAATTACTGTTTCCTCATTTGACTGCTTTAAAAACACACAAAGATCATAAACTTTTTTCTTATAAATAAATAATTAATTAAAATGAAATAGAGAATATTTTAAGTGATATTTTATTGGAAAGTTATTTACTATTTTAAAGAAAATAGATTGCATCGCATGGAAAATATGTAAGTGACACTTAATTTCATTTTCTAAAGATTTTCATATATTTTCTGCCTACAACCAGTGAACCTTTAAAAATGTATCATCTATGTTTAAAAAAATTGATGTGTGTCATTAAGTGCTTTGTGGATTATGCACGAATTTGCTAATTCACACTTCGTGTGCCACTGGATTCTCAAATAATCAGGAGTTTACTATATAGTTAAAAAATATCGACAAATAACTAAAACTGAAATTGCTAACTTTTGCATTATGTGGAGACTGTTTTTCTTTTTTTAGAGGAACCAAATATCTTTTTATTACAAATAAAAAAATATATGATAAAATAATTTTTTTAAATAAAACTAATTAAAAGATCCTAATTGAAATTACAACATTTAGATCTTAAAGTAGTTAGAAACAAAAGGGAAAACAAAATATATTGATCTAACTTCCAATAAAAATTATGAAAATAAATGTACATTTAAGCTTTGAAAAAATATTGTTTTTTTTTTTTAGTTTTTATAGTTTTTTTTAAAGCAAAATTATCTGTTTGACGCAAAACAAATTAACAGTAATAAATTTGTTCCTTCATTTTAAAATTTTGTTCTCTTATATTTACTGACTATGTTCTTATTGTTAAACAATAGCATTCTTATTCCAATATTGTTTGAAATCTGAGAAAATAGAAACAACATATGTACATTATTAAAATTAAAAGTTCACAAGAACTGTTCAAGCAGAATGAGCAAAAAAAAAAAAAGGAATTTTCTGATTGGTTAAGCATTACCCATTGTTTTAAATGTAACTTTTGATAATTTAATTTTTCAAATATTTTAAAGATGACATCGGTAGTGATATTTGTTAGCCTATAGGTTTAATAGTTAAAAAAAAAAAAGAAAATTAATTGCTTTCTCGCTAGTACATTAATATTTAATTGTTTTTTTAATTGCTTTGTCAGATAAATTTAATGAACATTAATGGTAGCATTTTATTTATTTTTTATTTTACAACTTGATAACTATTCCAATTTTATTGTTTCTTAATATTAGTTAAGTTTCTTTTTTTAAGATAGAAAAAACACTATACATTTAAATACAAATTTATGTTAAATTTCATCTCCAAGGCCTGTGAATAGTTCTTTCTCGGCTTGAGTGCTGTGGGGAGCATTGGAGCATATATTATCAATAAGACTTCAAGCTAAATAAATTTTGCATAATATAATATTAATAAGGGCAGGCTATAGGGGATAAATCTCCCATGACCTACCTAATCAAAAGACAAATTAAAAAGTAATTGAATTGTTCCCCACAGACAGTTAAAATCATGAGAAGAGATCCAAAGTTGGTGGTTTATCGAAAAATAACATAGCCGAAAATGAAGACAACCCCCCATGACCAATAATAGGTTGAAAAATACCTTGGCAATCGCAAATCGCCGACAAGACTGTGAGAATTAGTATAACCGTGTAATTTAAACATATTTGCAGTAAGACATTTAGGAATGAAGAGTTATAAATAATAAAAAAAGAATTGATTAGGCACAATGGTGAATTAATAAATCTACATTAGTATTGAAATAAAAAGTTAGTCGTTACATTGATCAATGAGAAAAGAATAAAATATTTTGTATTCTCCATTATAAAAATTAACTAATTGATTTAATTTAATTATAATTTGATTTAGAATGAGTAAAAAAACAAGTTTAAGAAATTAAAGAAATTTTAAAAGTTATGAAATAGGTGATGCCCATTGTGGCCTCACAGCACTATCTTGCTCTAGTGAGTTATCCTGACTTAGAATGAGAGAAAAGTTTGAATATTTTAAAAGTTATTCAGCTTTTTTAAAACTTAGTGAGATTTTTCTGAATGAAAATTATTTAAATCGAAGACTTATTCTTAGCCCAGATAATGTAGCATTGTTCAAATATTAAAATATAAAACCGTTTTCACAAAAATTTGTCTTTACTTCTTATTGATGTTTTACATCGTTTTCAGAACTAGCATGGATAAATAATATTGGCTAAAGATAGGTCAAACATGACCAGGGCTCCCATGGGTCTATTACAATTATTTTATAAAATTCTACTTTTAAGTGAAACTTTTCTATGTTTCCATTCTCATTCAATGTTTTTGCTCACTAAATCTAATTTTTGACGTAGCAAAAATAAAAAAAACTAAGTTTTCTGATAAAAAATTGCATGGTATAAATAAAATATGAGATGAACTTCCATTGAAATTTAGCTAATATACCTGGAAAAGTCAGGGAATTTTTTATGAAATTGAGTGGGAACTAGGATGACCTAACAGTTGTTGCAAACTCACAGCAGTTATAAAAATAGCTTGTTATTTAGAAAAAACGACACAGAGTCGACGACAGAGTCTTTTAAAAATACCCTAAAACTTATTGCTATGGTCAATGACTATTTAAGATCAATACAAAGAATTATTTATCCCTGATGGTTACAAATTATTGTGGCGATTTTAAGAAATAAAATTATACAAAATGCAAAGGTATTAAAAATACTTCAGTACATTTTTAATGTATTTCCATTTAACATTAAATGACGACATTTTTGATCCGCTCTTCACAACCTAAACTCAATCCCGGTTGTTGGGCTGCCCGCCTGTACGCTTCCCGTTATTTTGACAATGTTTTCTTGTTTTATCTATCTTATTCGCTTTTTAATTCTGCTTTAATCTATTTATTCACGACATTGTGCTTTTTAATTGGCTTATTTACATTGCCTTTCCTTGCTTTGCAAATTTTAGCGTCGCCTTTTAATTGTATTTGATAATTGTTTGTTTTACCACTTTACATCTTTACCTTCTTTTGTTTTACATTTGAGATTTTCTTGGCTCCTTACGCCGTTTTCTTCTGTCTTACCTGTTGTCAATTTGTCATTGACTGTATTGGTTCTTTGACCTATATTAACTTGGGATCTCCGTTTACCTGTGACCTTTTAATGTTTTCTTATGTTCACTTCAGGTACACGTTTTTTTTAAGGGTTCACTTTATGTTTTACTGTTCTTGAATACATCAACAGTTTATACTTTGTGTCATTTATTAACCTGTCACAATGTTAATGATCGCTTTGGTTTAGCGACCCAACTTACTTTGTATTATTACTCGTTTTAATACTATGTACTGTCTGCACATGATGCATTGTATGTCATACTGTACTTTCCTGCGATGTGTTGTAAAATTTTTCATTTGTGTCTTTGGCTCACTATAAGGGAGGTCCCGTCGGCTTCGGCACTATAAGGCGGGACTCACGGAGCATTTTAATTGTTTTACTGCTGTTGCCATCAGACTCTGTAATATTTTCGTATTTTTGCATTTTTTGTATTTTATGTACTTTTCTGTTTTTCTTGATTTTAATAAACATTTACCCGTATGCCCTAAATTGGAGCGGGTCGGGGTAACTATTTCATTTAACATTAAATAAAATATTAAAATTCAAAATTATTACACAAAAAACGGCCAAAAATTTAGCATCTAAAATTGTGTATACAATTCAATGTACTAAATTTAAATTAAGATTGTAAAATAAATAAAAATTACATTGTATTATTCTATTTTGATTTTTGTCATTAAAATTCTCAAGCTGTCATCATTCTTATACAAATTTTTAGATGTATGGTAATGATATATTTTAAGATGTATGGAGTTTGTCCTACACCATAGCTACCAACTCTACTGGAATTTGCCATTTTTTTTCTGGATGTAATTAAAATTTTCCTCATATTTGTACATTTTTGAAAATTCTCTATAATTGAGGGAGTCTTCTAGTAAAAAAAAAGTCTCTATTCGAATAGAATTTTTATACATTTTATGTCTCGCTTGAATATTTTGATAAGTATTATGAATACATAATGAAGTGGGTCTCCCTTAGAGTAATCAGTTTAAAGCTTTCCTATCTTTCTTTTTCTTTGTTCTAAAAATTTCAGTTTCTTTTTATTCAGAACACCCTTTTTAAATTATAAAATCTTTTAATTATCAATGATTATTTACTTCTCTACTGCTATTTAAAATTATGAGTTAACATGAAACTGAAAGTTTCGAATTCATATAATGTCAATCACAAATGAAAAATATTGCAGACCATTTATGTATATTAGTGTAATAAAGGTTTCGTATTTTGGTAACAATAAAAATCCCGAAAATTCCCTATATGTAAAATATTTAGTATATTCTGCCGGAAACCAAATATTGTTACTTTTGTAAAAACTTTTATATATTTTGTACAAAGACTTATCTAGTATAAACTAATAAAAAACAAAAATTTTCAATAATATTAAAATCAACTCATAAAGGGTAAGGATGTTAATGACAGCAATAAAAATGGTTCAACTTACTTTATTATTCAATATACCTAAGCAAGATTGCTAAATATTTCCATACAAATATTCTTTTTTCATTCTAAATCAGCTGCTACTAAGAATAAATGTTATTTGAGTTACTAGTGGCCATGAAACTGTTGAATGGTAAAGATGTAAAATGCTGGGAAGTCAAACTTAGTGCAAAAATATTTTTAAAGTGCAGTGAAACATAAAGAAACAACTTAGTTTTAAATTTTTAATATATGTGGTAATCATAGTTTTTTTTTTCATGATCCATTTTAATTTTTATTTAAAGAATGGATAGAGCATGAAAGACCTTTTAGTATTTATATTTATCCTGATTAAAGGAAGGTAGTATGTAGCTCTGTAATTAAAATAAAATATTTTATTTTTATTTTAAACTTTTAATATTTAAAAAGAGAAATAGAAAATTTTCATTTTATTATATTTAATAATTTTAATTTAGGTTTTATGTTCAACAGTTGAATACACTGTCTTAGAGATGAATCTAGTCTAGTTGAAAAAAAATTTTATATTGCTATTAGAAACTGTTTTAAATATTGAAAATAATTATTAGGGGAAAAAAATTCAGTTATTTTATTTTGATTTGAAAAGCACAATGTAAAATACTATTGCAAATTCTTATAAATGCATATTTTTTTCATACTTTTTTAAAATTGTTGTTAGAAAAATTATAGATTTTTTTACAAAATTTCATTTCTCATTTTTCGACATATTATTTTAAATATAATTACAGATTTCCAAAAATATTTTTTAAAAAAAAGTGCTTTAAAAAGTTTCAACTATTGGAGCTATTTTAACTCTTCCACAGAGCCCTAGAGTTCCACGGAATGTCATTTGGGAACCATTGTTCTAGAGTGTGATCCACGTATATAGTTAAATTCGCAAACTATTTTTAATGTATTTCAAGATATTTTCATTGAAATCCAGCCAACTGAATCCATGAATTGTATCATTAAGAATGAGCCATAATTACGTTATAAAATAATATTAATTAATTAAAATAACTTACATCTTTTTATTTTATTTATTTATTTATTTCAAATGGTTAACTGTGAACAATTTTGGTTACGGACAACTTGAGCTGAGATCCTAAAGCATTTGTACTCAGTTAAAAGTTTTCATAGTACTGCCCAGATATCTTGTGTTCTGTCATTCTAGACTTGTTCTATGTCAATTTATAAAACAGGTATCTGTGCACCTGAAAGTCATGGAAAGTCACGGATTTCAGTATTGAACAAAATTTGTCATGAAATGTCATGATTTTATTTATTTATTTTTTTTTTAATCATAGAAAGTCATAGATTTAGGTCGCCAAAAAAATCTTATTTTTTAAAACTGAAAATTCAGAATATTTGAATTAGTAACAAAATCCCCACTCACAGTCATATTTCATTAAAATATAAAATGTTTTTTTTTCCCTGTTCTTTATTAAATTATGATGTTCTTTCAAAAAATGAAAGAAAGAACATCATTTCTAGAGGGAATTATCTTTTAAACTTCAGTGATTTCAAATTCTTTTTATTTATTTTTATTTTACACTTTTAAAAAAAAAAAATTTTAACTTTAGTAAGTGAAAATATCTTCATAAAAATTTCTTGAAATTATTCATGGTAAGTCATGTATTTGAAAATCTGAAATGTATTAGACAGGGCACTATAAAACTTCATTATCATTCTATAATTGTAAATCTATGTTATAAAAAGTTAATAACAATTTTCTTTTTATTGCAGTATATGTATCGAGAGTCCTGTAAAGAGGCTAAGTCTGAAACGTCTTCTGAGAAAAGATACAAGATATAATTATATTAATGTTATTTTTTTCACCTATTGCAGAATATATTGTAGTTATTTTCTAAATATTTTAATGGCTCTGTATGTAATAAAAATATAATTCAATGCGTGTTCTCCTTTACTTCAGAAAACAAGGTTGTCAGAAATTATTTGAAGAAAAAAAACATATTTTTTAAATCTAGTTTTATTTCTTTCACATTTATTAAATCAAAGCTCAGATAAAAGTTATATTATTTACTTAATAATAATTAATTAATAACAATGTAACTAAAGAGCTACTGTTTCTAACTTAAAGTGGTTAAAATTAATATGCAATTGATACAAACTAATCACTGAATAAAGTTGATATACATATTTGCTTCAATCAAGCTCGACACCCTCATTATTGTGTGGATCGAAGGTCGGGTTTGTCCTTAAGATATCGAATGATGATTCATATCTAAACTATTTCAGTTATAAGCATTACACACTTTTATTTTCGAATTATTATTGTCTCACAAACTTGGTCCCTTCGCAGACTGAGCCAAGATGGTTAACCACCCGCACACTGAAGCCAGTGATGCTCAACTTCGATGATCTACTGGGAACTGTGTCTTAACGATAAGCTCTAGGGCGACAAATACAACTAATTATTATTAATAGCTGCCTTTGAAGGGTCGAACACTAATTTCTTTATAATTTTTGGATCAAAAGCGATTGATATTAATACCAAATCCAAGGATATTTGTCAAAATTTTCAAAAACATAAAATATTTATTAAACATTAATATTTATTAAAAATAATATTTATTAAAAAATATTTATTAAACATTTTCTTATTTTGTCTATTTCACCCTAGATACTGGTATTGCTAAAATCAATGATGATGGAAGTAAGATATGAAGCGGGTTTTAAAAAAAATCTGTACCCTTCATTTAGTGTCTACTTGAGTCTATTTCGGTTATTGGCATTTGAGGGGATCATTTGATAGATACATTAATGATTTTTAATTAATTTTTGGTTCACAAGGGAACTTTGATGTTAATCCCGAGTCGAAGGACGGGTGCCAAAATTTTGAAAACAGATTATTATATGTTAAATAATTATTGAACATTTTTATTTTGTCCATATAATAATAGGTGGTTGAAACAGGTCTCACTAAAATAATGTTGCATTTATGATATGAGGCGAGGTAAAAAGAGTATGTTTTGCCTACATTTAATCTGTATAAAAATATGGTCCTATACCTCCCTCTAATAATAACCTATTATATTCAAATTGGACCACATATTATATTACCGCGTAATAGTGTACCCTACCAGAGGAAATAATAATAGACTTTGTATCAGGTACACAATGTGGCCCTGTAGTTTACTATGTATGTATATCTAAAATAGTCTTCTGAAAAGCTTTAAAATGAGGAAATTCGTCTTCTAAAGAACTTTAAAAATTCGAAGTCAATCGTTTCAATATTAACACAAGGCCCGATATCAAACCTTAATATTGACTCATAATATTTTAATTGGAACACGTGTTATATTACCGGGTAATAGTGTACTAATTAGGGTCCAACTTCGAAAATTATACCTTGATAGTAAAGGGAGTTAGGGGGTCTCGAATTTTGAACCTTACTCTTGCCATTTTATTCTTTTTTTTATTATTCCATTACGCTTTCTTTGCTGGTTTTCACACACAGAAAACACCCCATGCATGCTAGAATATCCAAAATGTTACAAAAGAAGTCGAAAAAGAGCAAATAAACTGATTTTCCTGGAATTTTCCAGTTCTTTCCCATTTTCCAAATAAAAAAAACTATTTCCTACATGCAGGATCCTCCAGAATATCGAAAAACACATAAAAAAATATATAATTTAAAATTAACAAAAAAAGAAATTTTTTTGAAAATTTGTGCGTCCCTGGGATTCGAACCCAGGAACCCTCCCTCCAGCAGCGAACTTGCTTCCCTGGTGGCCTACCTTCCAGTCCACGGTGATAGGTGAAGCCTACCACAGTTTCGCTTCAAAAGCTCTCTCCTCTCATCTTCGCAATATACCTTTAGGGGCCCCCTGTGGCCTATAAAAATTCTCTTCGGGAGCCTGGTTTGGACCATAGATCCCTACTTAGGATCCGAGTTTGAAAATTATACCTTGATATTAAAGGGAGCAAGGGGGTCTTGAAATTTGAACCTTTCTCAAGCCATTTCATTTTATTATTATTTCTTTTTATTATTCCATTACGCTTTTATGCTGGATTTCACACACAGAAAACACCTTACGCATGAAAAACTTTCAAATATATTGTTAAAAATAATTAAAAACGATGGAAGCAACCCAATTTTCATGGATTTTTCCAGTTTTCTCCTATTACTTGAAATTTTCCCAATTTAAAAAAATTATTTGCTACATGTAGGACCCCCTAAAATACAGAAAAACACAATAAAAAAATAATGTAATGCAAAATAAGTGAAAGAAGAAAAAAAATTTTTTTTTGAAAAGTTGCCGCAGCAGGGATTTGAACCTGCAACCTCTCACCCCAGCCCTGAGTTACTAGTCCGGTGTCTTGACCACCACATCACCCGAACACGTGAAACGTGCCATAATTTGGCTTCAAAAGCCCTCTCACGGTCAGCTATACAATTGACTTTTGGGGACCCCCCCTGCTCCCCCTATTCCACCTATAAAGATTTCTTTGTACAGTATTGTTTGGACCATGGACTCCTACTTAGGGTCCGAGTTTGAAAATTATGACTTAATATTAAAAGGAGTTAGATGGCTTCGAATTTTGAACCGCACCCCACCTTTTAATTTTATTTTTTTATTAGTATTCCGTTATGTGTTGTTTAACAAAGAAAGATGCACGATTTTACTTACGATTTTACCTTACGCATGATAAACTTTCAAATATATTGTAAAAATAATTTAAAACAATAATTAAAGCCCAATGTTCCGGGATTTTTCCAGTTTTCACCGATTATTTGAAATTTTCCCAATTAAAAAAAATTATTTCCTACATGTAGGACCCCTAAAGAACAGAAAAACACAAAAAAAAATTAATATAATGCAAAATAAGCAAATGAAAAAAACAGAAAATTTATGAAAAGTTGCCGCAGCAGGGATTTGAACCTGCGACCTCTCACCCCAGCCCTGAGTTACTAGCCCGGTGTCTTGGCCACCAGCCCACTTGAACACGTAAAATCTGCCACAATTTGGCTTCAAAAGCCTTCTCAAGGTCAGCTATGCAATTGACCTTTGGGGACCCCCTGCTCCCCCTAATTCACCTATAAAAATTTCCTCCTACAATATTGTTTGGACCATAGACCCCTACTTCGGGTTCGAGTTTGAAAATTATAACTTAATATTAAAAGGAGTTAGACGGCTTCGAAATTCGAACCGCACCCCACCTTTTTATTTCATTTTGTATTTTTTTTTATTATTCCATTATGCGTTGTTTAACAAAGAAGGATGCAGGATTTTAATCATAGAACACCTTACGCATGATAAACTTTCAAATATATTGTAAAAAAAAATGTAAAACAGAGAAAAAAAAACAATTTTCCTGTTTTCATCCATTATTTGAAATTTTCCCAATTTAAAAAAATGATTTTCTACATGTTTCCTACACAACAAAATAATAATATAATGCAAAATAAGGAAAAGAAAAAAAAAGAAAAAAAACAAATTTTTTGAAAAGTTCTTTTTTTTTCGCTTTATTTATTTTAAATTATATTATTTTTTTATGTGTATTTCGATATTCTGGAGGTACCTGCATGTAGGGAAAAAAATTTATTGGGAAAATGGGAAAAAACTGGAAAAATCCGGGAAAATCAGTTTGTTTGCTCCTTTTCGACTTCTATTGTAACATTTTGGATATTCTAGCATACATGGGGTGCTTTCTGCGTGTGAAGTTCAGCAAAGAAAGCGTAATGGAATAATAAAAAAAAAGAATAAAATAATAAAATGGCTCGATAAAGGTTCAAATTTCAAGACCCCCTAACTCCCTTTAATATCAAGGTATAATTTTCAAACACGGACCCTAGGTAGGGGGCAATGGTCCAAACAAGACTGCTGAAAAGAATTTTTATAGGCCAATTAGGGGGGTCACAGAGGGCCCCTAAAGGTATATTGCAAAGATGAGAGGAGAGAGCTTTTGAGGCGAAACTGTGGAAGGCTTCACGTATCACCGTGGACTGGAAGATAGGCCTCCAGACAAGCAAGTTCGCTGCAGGAGGGAGGGATCCTAGGTTCGAATCCCAGAGACGGTCAAATCTTGAGAAAATTTTCTTTCTTTTATTTTTTTGTTTATTTTAAATAATATTATTTTTTTATGTGCTTTTCGATATTCTGAAGGTTCCTGCGTGTAGGAAAAATTTTTTTTTTTTCTGGGAAAATGGGAAAAAACTGGAAAAATCCAGGAAAATCAGTTCATTTGCTCTTTTTCGACTTCTATTGTAACATTTTGGATATTCTAGCATGCATGGGGTGTTTTCTGCGTGTGAAGTTCAGCAAAGAAAGCGTAAAGGAATAATAAAAAAAAAAAGAATTAAAAAAAAGAATAAAAAAATAAAATGGTTCGAGAAAGGTTCAAATTTCAAGACCCTCTAACTCCCTTTAATATCAAGGTATAATTTTTAAACTCGGACCCTAGGTAGGGGTCCATAGTCCAAACAAGGCTGCTGAAGAGAACTTTTATAGGCCCATTAGGGGGGTCACAGTGGGCCCCTAAATGTACATAGTGAAAATGAGAGGTGAGAGCTTTTGAAGCGAAACTTTGGTAGGCTTCCTGTGTCACCGTGGACTGGAAGGTAGGCCACCAGACAAGCTAGTTCGCTGCAGGAGGGAGGGGTCCTGTGTTCGAATCCCAGGTACGGTCAGATTTTAAAAAATGCCTCTTTTTTTCTCTTTTTGTTTATTTTAAATTATATTATTTTTTTAAGTGTTTTTCGATATTCTGGAGGTACCTGCATGTAGGAGAAAAAATTTTTTTATTGGGAAAAAGGAAAAAAACTGGAAAAATCCAGGAAAATCAGTTTATTTGCTCTTTTTCGTCTTCTATTGTAACAAATTAAATATTCTAGCATGCGTGGGGTATTTTCTGCGCGTGAAGTTCAGCAAAGAAAGCTTAAAGGAAT